GGCTTTGGTTTCTTTTATGCATCATGGCCAATAACGGTTTTAGGAAGAGAATTGATGGTGGATTACAAGATAGCTCTAGGGGGCTTTTAAAGGAGATGCTCCCAGGCATGAAAGGCAGCATAAGAGTAAGCCTGAAATTGCTTGCTGAAAAATGTAGCAAGAGTGATGAAGGTAGGCAGGCTTGGGCTCATAGAAAACAGAAGTGTAGGTACATAGTGTGAGGATTGGCCACCAGGGTACCTGCTAATAAAGACAAATAGTGTATATTTGATGAGATAGAAAGAACAGTGGAAGGGCATAAAGGGAAAAGAAGTGAGCTAGGAAAATATTCCTTACAGCAGCATTCTGAATAGATTTGCATGAGGCAAGATCATCTCTCAAAGCTGAAAAATAAGACTTTCCAATAAGCAAGATATGAGATGATGAGGATCTAGGGAGAGTTCTAACTGCAGAGACAGAGAGGAGTATGGTATCTTATAGCTATTATGCAGAATGAATCAACAAAAATTAGATGTAGCTGGGTTATGAGGCTCTGGAGAGTAGGTTGAGTCAAAGATGATGCCTAGGTTATGGTCCTTGATCTTATACTGAGTCTGATAGGTTCTTTAACATTAAATTTGTTGTTCATAATATTTTTTAGAGTAATTGTAAGAATATTTCAGTAGAATAAGGAAAAGACAAATGTCTTTTTCAAAGTAGAAAGGGAAAATTGTCTAGAAATGTAGAGGGAGTAGGGGAAAACCTCCTACAATACCTGTCTTAAGTGACATATATAACTGGCTTCCACCATTTGTGACAATGGAGTTTTGGGACAACAAAGGTAAAGGAAAAGCATGAACAGTAATTCAACTTCACAAGTTCAGTTCAGAAGTATGGGGCTGAATTGCAGATCTTCGTTCTCTATCATGTTCATTACCAGTGACATTTTATTAATTCCCTGCTCACAGTGTGCCTACCCATCCCAAGCTGGAAAGCAGTTCTCAAGCACCAGTTTGCCTGGATCTCTTAGATCCTGAAATATGCAACACTACACAGAAACTTCTGTGCTTGCTTTTCGCACTGACATTTTGGAATGCCTGTGTCATAATGTCATCACTGTAGGTCACTTTACTGGAAGGCTGATGGAAGGTTGTAATTTATGACAGAAAGGTAATTCTAATTGTGGACAAAAATGAATGCGGTTATTTTTAGATATTAGCAAACAATACCTTCTTTTTTATTTTTTTCCCAACTCTTTTCTATCACAGTTTAATTTCTTACATTGTATTTTTATCTATGTGTCTTATTCCTCGTTAATTTGATTATCTTGCTAACATGTATCTTTACACTTGGAGCCATGAATCCTCTTTCTCAATGCAGACAAATGAAAAAGGAATCCTTTTTTGATACATATCTGGCAATATCTACACCTACTTTTCAGACTGGGTTATTTTAAAATGTTGGTGCCGTTAGGGATTACATCTCTCTTTATCCCTTAATGTTACACTACATAACTTTCATTTAACTAGAATATATGTCTATGGTAAAATTTTCTTAGGCATTTTATTAATTTATTTACTTGTAGAACTTTTCTAGGGAGCAAATACCTAGCTATAACTCTGAAAATACAGGTCTAAACCATGTACCAGGTACAGATCCTTGGTCAAAAGGAGATTTTGAGTTAATAAAGTTCTCATAATGGGCTTTATATAGCCTTTTTGGGTAAAAAAAAAAAAAAACAAAAATGCAAAACAAAACAAACCAAAAAAGCCCAAACAAAAAATCAAAAGCATACACAGTAACTGAAATCCACTAACTGGTTTGATTTACTCACTTTGACTGGTACAGTGCACAGTTCTACGTGCACAATATGATTCCAGACTACTTACTTCTTGATTTGTTTTTCTATAATTTTCCCTATTGTTTTGTGTTAGAAAGAAGATTTCAAGGCTCACATATAAAAAATAGTTTTCAATCAAGTATTAAAATAACAATTAAATTAAAAATCTTTTTGGATATATTAGGACCAGGTTGTATTGTTGGTTTGTATTGCTTATTCACTGCTTATTTAAAATATTCTCAAAATGCTGCTTGTACTTACTCATGAAAATAATGAACTGTCACATGCATTTTACATGTTGGCCCTCCTATGAGGGCTTTTAGCAAGCTCTGCTCTTTGAGCAGCCTGTATAGTTTTAATGGAGATTGAGGCAGTGGAGAGAGGAAAGCTACAGAAAAAGATTATGAGTTAGGAAAAAAGGCTGTGATTAACTAGCTTGACATTCACAACCACTTTGGTACAAGGGGGAGAAAAAAATGCTTCCTGTGAAATAGCTGCACCGTTTAGAGCTGTTCATATTTGTTGTAAGCTATTCATCTTCAATTTTTTTCTATCTACTATTTTGTAGTTAATACTGCAATGCTGAATACAATTCATAACAATTAACTAATATTTTAAGTAGGAAATTATTATTTTTCTAAAGTTCTTTTAGTTGAGATAATTTCCTTCAGATTTTTTTCATTCTGTTTTTTACTATTCCAATTCTACTCCAAATAAACTTTACAAAGGATAACTTCTCTTTTCACGTACTGTGGATAGAGAAAATGACATCATTGAATGCAATTCACAAGGTAATCATACAGATAAATACTAAGCTAGCTGTTGTTGTGTAAACTTATAAGGAGGCTGTGATTTAAGTCACATTATTTAAATAGAGTGACATTTAATCTCCAGCTTTAAGGGAGGAACTTCTTTTTAGATGTGAATCTAAATTTGTAATCTTAATTAGCCATATTTAGCACCCAACAGTTGAAGAAAATCTGACTGAAACTAAGTCTTTGACTAGTTTTTAGCAGGAACATTTAGGGGATACTCTCATTGTTGAGGATGTTCATTAACCACCAGTCCCCACATTATTAGAGCACGGAAAAACTTTCATTTTACCTGATTAACTCTAGAGACAAAAATATTAATAGAAAAAAAAGGTTAAACTGGTGCTTCCCTTTTCCTAAATGTGCTACTATAATCCTAAATAATTTCTCATTTCCTTCTCTCTATCTCTCTGGTGAGTATTGACATATTACCACAAAAATATAAGACTATCTTAATAGGACTTATGAGCATTCTGTAAATTACACTATCCATTTTAAAAGACCTCTTTGCCACCACTTACCCTTTCCCTTACTCTAGCTAAACAAAGAAATTATTTCTGCTTTAGAAACCTGAAAATACTTGTTTTCTATGTGGTGGTGTGTTGATCCTGTCAAGTATCTAAAAGTAGCACAGCAGTTAGCTTGCTCCCCTCTACTCCAGCTGGACAAGGCAGTGAGCAGGAAGACTAAAAGTGAGAAAATTCATGGGCCAAGATGAAAGCAGTTTGAAGAGTAGAGGAAAAGGAAAAAAACCCCAAACAAACAAGTGATGCAAAGGTAATCCTTCACTACCTCCCACAAGTATGCCCAGCTAGTCTCTGAGCAATGGCTACAGCCCCACAGTTTTTAATAATGAGTTTAATTTTATGTTGCTTGGAATATCCTTTAGGTGAATTTGAGTCAACTGCCAAGGCTGTGTCCCCTCCCAACTTATTTTGTGTCTTCAGTCTACTCATTGCAGGGAGTAGGCTCTTCTTTTTTCCTAACCCTTCCCCTTCTTTTTTTCCTAATCTTTGCCCTTCTTTTTTCCTAACCCTTCCCCTTCCTTTTTCCTCTCCATTCCCCTTTTTCTTTCCTTGCTCCCCTCCTTTCCCCTTCCCTTCCCTTCCCTTCCCTTCCCTTCCCTTCCCTTCCCTTC